GTGATGTTTGTGGTTAATGTTGTTGTTGCTGATGATGACGATGTTGTTGTTGATGATGATGATGGTGATGATGATGATGATCTTTTGTTGGTGTTGATGATGATGTTTTGTTGTTGATGATGATGATGTTGTTGTCGTTGTTGTTGTTGTTGATGATGATATGATATTGTTGTCGTTGTTGTTGTTGATGATGATGATGAAGTTTTGTTGTTGATGTTGATGATGTTTTGTTGTTGTTGTTGATGATGATGATGTTTTGTTGATGACGATAATGATGATTATGATGTTTTGTTGATGATGATAATGATGCTGTTGTTGTAGTTGATGATGATGATGATGCTGTTGTTGTTATTGCTTTTATTTTTGTTGTTGTTGTTGTTGTTGTTGTTGTTGTTGTTGTTGTGGTTGTGGTTGTGCTACACAAAAAAGCATTTAACAAGATATCTTTTTAAAACTCATTTAAAATTTATTTCACAAATTCATGATAATTAAATTTAAATTATTTTTATCGAACTTGAAGATTTGTAAATATTTAATGAGTTTGGCTTCTTTAGAATAATTTTTGACTAGATAAAATTATTTATGCAAAAATATAAAAAATAATAACAGTATCATTATGTAGCCCTTAAGGTTTTATTGTCTGCTGTCACGATGAGTGAAAGTTCCACTCTAAGCAGATGTTCAGCAGTCCGTCGGACGGTCATGAGATACTTGTGTGCGTCATCATCTTCATCAACCTCATCTCCATCTTCATCATCATCATCAACATCATCTCCATTTTCATCATCATTAACAACGTCATCATCATCTTCATCATTTTTGGCACGATAATCATCTCAGATAACATAATTGTCGCCATGCTCATTCTGTTGGCAATCATCGTGAACCACAGCGGAAGGACCTGTCAACTCATCTCAGTCAGATAAACTCTCAACTTCCAATACAACCATTCGTCGCTAACATGTTCAATCTCAGAATATATTATCAATACAATAAAACATTGGCACAAATGCAGAGTGGAAAATTGGATGTAACCTGGAAATAAAAGTTGAAAAAGTATTGACACATTAAATCCAAGTACATTTTGTCATTATTGATAATCTGAGGCGTTAGTCTGATATGTGTGTTAAGACAAGATTGAACAAAATCTTTATAGACATTCGTAAAAATTTGCACTGAAAGCCATTTCTTTCCCCACTAACAATAAAATTGAGTTACACTTTATGCAAGACCCCTGTCGTGGAATTCAGGGAATTTGGAATCGAAGTGGAAGTTCGTTTTGGGGTTTCATTAATTGATCAAATCACGGATTCCGTCTGCTTGTTTGTTTGCGCTTCAGTTTGTTAGCACCGCATAAGCAGTTACTTTCTTAAGTTTTATCATTTTCAACGTTTTAATTGATTATCCTATTGAATCACAAGTATATAAATTGAATATATATCTCAAAAATTTAATCATTATTATCAACTTCAAACTTAGAGAAACACGAGTGAAAATAATTAACCAATCAGTAGCTGTCGTGTTATCTGCTAAGACAGATGCTAAACAAGCATGAACAAACATTAACGAACATGAACAAACATGAACAAACATTAACGAACATGAACAAACATGAACAAACTGTTATAACTGCAGAATCTTATCAGGCACCCATCACGAATGCATCCCTCTCACATCCGGTCCATCTAATCACATCAGCCCCGCTACATAATTGTTTCAGTTTAGTTCATTTAAAATTAAAAATATTAATTTAAATATACTTCCCTGTGTGAGTTGGAACATGTGAGGCGGGCGGGAAACACGTTTCGACGTTCTCATGGCTCGACCGGCTAGGGCGGTGCACCTCCTCGCATCGTTCCTGCTTCCATTATAAATTTTATACATTAAAAATTAAAAGAAGTGGGAGTTTGACGTGTTTGAATTAACGAGCTAAATAATGAATGCTTTTACTGAAATAAAATTCGTTTTTCACAATTTTTTAGTTTATTTTTTATATTTTTCAAAAATTGGATTTATTCAATGATTCATTTATTCAAGTTATCTTGTGTATCAATCATCTGTCCTGTGGTCCTCGCTATCTTTGCAAGCAGCTCCTCATAAGTGTTTCAAGTGTTAATTGCATACTGCCGTGCTTGTTGTTGTGAGGATGATGATGTTGTTGTGATGATGATGATGATGATGAAGATGATGATGATAATAATGATGATGATGTTGTTGTTGGGATGATGATGTTGTTGTGATGATGATGTTGGGATGATTGTACGATGACGATGATGATAACTTTTATGATGATGATGATTATGATTTGAGGAGGGGAAGGTGATAGTAATAATCATATTTTGGGTTGGTTAAAAAAAAACCAAGCAGTTGATCATTAAAATAATTCTGAAAAATTTAACTTTCACGAACTCGTAAACTTTCCAAGAGAGGGGAACGGATGGCGGATCATAAATAACCGGAACAAGATGAAGCCTGGAAAGGGAATACAGACGCGCATGTACGTACAACGTATTTTTTTGTATAGTTTTGTATGGTACAACGTATGTATGGGATATGTACATATACAGTACAGATTATACAGATTCCCATTACTCTAGAGTGAACGTACACATCTGTACAGTGTACAGTGTACATTCACATCTGTATGATGTACTACATCAACCAACCGAATCACTTATAATTAACGTTGAAAATTATTCCATATTTCACTCACTCGCGAAAGCAAAAGTTGACAATGGGGCCATAAAAATAGTTTGGTGATGATGATGTTGATGTGATGAAAATGTTGATGTGATGATGATGGGATGATGATGTTGATGTGATGTTGATGGAAGAATGATGTTGATGTGATGTTGATGTGATGGTGGTGTTGATGTGATGGTTATGTTGAAGTTATGCTGATGATGTTGATGTGATGATGTTGATGTTGTTGTGATGATGGTGGTGATGAGATAATGATGAGTTAATAATGATTATGGCATTGTCAATATCTGCGTGGAGACAGAACGAGGTCTTCAGCGTTCATCAGCTTTCATTCATTTTTTCTTTCATTCAATCGGTGGAGATGGTTGGTGGTAGTGATGGTGGTGGTGGTGGGGGGGCTGTTGTTTGCTGTGCGTGGCGTGGATGGAGATGGGATGTGGAGAGGTTGCTTGGCATTAATCATCCCATCGAGTGCTTCATTCATATGTCAGCCTGGATTGTGATGATTGTAATGATGATGATGATGAAGACGACGACGATGATGATGTTGATTGGTGATGGTGATGATGGGGATGATGATGATGAAGAAGATGATGAGGAGGAAGAAAAAGAAGAAGATGATGATGATGATATTTAGATTATAATAATAATTATCAGAAAAGTGAGTTGAATTCTAGGTTTATTAATTAGGAAATATAAAATGAAATCATTTTGCCTGGTTTTTCTTTATCACAAAAATTAGAAATAATCATTTCATTAAACAATTTCACCAAAAATTTTAAACAAAAAGTTAAGTGAACAAGCATGTGAACAAGTGGGTGAACGAACAACTATGTGAACCTGGAAGAGAACAAACAAAACGCTGGCCGAAACACTCAAGTAAACAAACGTGTGAACAAACAAGTGAGCAAACGTGTGAACAAACAGATTTGCATACCCCTGCAATTTTAATCATTCAAGTTGTAACAATAACAAACAACAACGAAACGACGTTCAATCGCATTACAACACGCAGACACAACAACGGAAGCAACAATCACTCATTAGTTGTGGCACTTCAGCGTTAACAATGCACTGCAACAACAACAACAACAGCTGGTCGTGTGAATGTTGGGTTGATGGCTCATGGTATACAATGCTAATAACTTTATTATTATAAGAAGCGTGATTTTTTATGGTTTATAACGTTTATAATTTTATCAATATCTTTTTGCACGCACATTCTTTTTTCACTCTCTCTCCCTCTCTCTCTCTCTCTCTCACTTTCTTTCTCTCTTTTCTCTTTCTTTTTTCTTCTTCTTCCCCACTTTTTTCTTTCTTTCTTTCCTCGTTCACTCCCGCACACAAACACGTACACATAAACACAGTCACACACACACAAGTACACACATTCAAACAGTCACTCGTCATAAATCTCTACATTCACAAATCAGAGAAACTACAAAGACAGCAACGACGACACTATAGAGATGTGAAGTCTGATGTTCTAAATTATGCCTCGACCAATCAATGACTGACTGTATTGTTAATTAATATTATTAATTTATTAAAAATAGATTAACGTAAGATGTTGGATTATAATGGTTTGGTATTCATTTGGTTCTAATTTGACAGGCTTCAAACGATAATATTGACATTAGCAACAAATACAAAATCAACATCAATAACAACATCAACAACAACATTAACGACAACATCAAAAACGTCATTAACAACAACAACATTAACATCAACCACAACACCATCAACAACAACAACAACAACAACATCAACAACAACATTAACATAGAAATTAACAACAACAAAAACAGCAATAGTAATAAATAAACACTGCACCACGGCCACACCACATACAACATAGAAACAAACAAACAACAACGACAAGAAAGAATGTGTCAACATTCACAAACACATTAATAAATTCATATGAAGGTTAGGAAGTTGGCTGCACACTCACTCATTCACTCACACTCATCACACACACAAACACACACACACACACACATATATATATATATATATATATATACATATATATTAATAAATTATTAGGAAAAGAGACAAGTGTTGAAAATGAAGTTGGTTCAATGCATAGCGCCCATGATTTTAAAAAATTTTTTGCTGACAAGTTGAAAGTGACCGAAAAGTCAACTGAATGTTTTAATTTTCCAGTTATTTCTACAAATACTAATATTATGCTTCCACTCGAATCGTTTCCAGTGTTGACTGAAGAACAGATATCTAAAGTTGTTAATTCGTCACCTACGAAGTCATACTCACTCGACCCAATACCGACGCATGTATTCAAAGAATATGCTGACTGTTTTATTGTTTACTTAACGGACTTAATCAACATGTGCTTAACGAAGGGTGTAATGCCACAGGTTTGCAAGCATGCAATTGTTACGCCAATTCTAAAGAAGACAGGATTAGATAAATCAGATCTGATAAACTATAGGCCGGTGTCAAATTTGTCTTTTGTTTCTAAAATTATAGAACGTTCCGTTGAGTTAGTTTTAAATAATCATATAAATAAAAATGTTATTGGATACAGAAGGTTTCATTCGACCGAAACAGCTCTATCGGATATATTCTCTCATGTTTATTCAGCAGTTAATGTACAAAAAGTAACTTTGTTGACATTCCTGGACATGAGTTCGGCGTTCGATACTGTGAATCATAAAATCCTGCTGGACAGACTGAAATATTGTTATGGTTTAAATAAGATTGCGTTAGCGTGGTTCGAATCATTTCTTACTGGTCGAACTCAGCAGATTTCTTACTCAGGTGGTCTCTCGGAACCAATAAAACTTACGTCAGGGGTGCCTCATGGACCTGTTCTTGGACCGATTCTTTTTAATTTTTATGTTGCAGAGATATTGGATTTACTGAATAAAGATGGTTATTATTGCCATGGGTACGCAGATGACATGCAGATTTGCGTTTCATGTTTCTCAGATGAGATGCCTACCGTATTAAAGAATCTGACAAAAACTATATCTGATGTCGGCTCGTGGCTGGGTCAAAGTAGGCTAAAGTTGAATCAGACTAAGACTCAGTTCATGTTGGCTGGTACATGGCAACAAACGTCAGCGGTTGAACCTTCATCGATTAACATCAGTATGACTGATATAAGTTTCAGTAAAACGGTTACCAATTTGGGAATTGTGATGGACTCCCGTATGACAATGGGTCCACAAGTCAGTCTATTGGTTAAAAAATGTATGTTCCAACTACGTCAATTACGTCAAGTCACAAAATTGGTAGATAGAGATACAATGACTCTATTAGTACATGCTTTCGTCAACTCTAGATTGGATTATTGTAACAGTCTTCTATAAGGTATAGCTGATAAACTGTTGTCTAAACTTCAGATGGTTCAGAATCAGGCTGCTAGAATGATATATCGCAAATTAAAATTTGATCATGCATCACCAATTCTAAAGGAGTTGCATTGGCTGCGTGTTAAACAAAGAATCATGTTCAAGTTGGGTGTAATGGTATTTAAAAGTTTAAATGGTCTGGCTCCGAAATATTTAGAAAATAAGTGTATTCGAGTTTCATCTATGTCATCACATGGGCGTCTAAGGTCTGCCGATTCAAACACGCTGTATGTTAGAGATCGGAATCTGAAAACAGCAGATAGAGATTTTGCAGTTGCTGGGCCTATTTTTTGAAACAGCCTACCTATCGAACTACGTATATCCGGGTTATCATTAGCTGAGTTTAGAAAACGTCTAAAGACATACCTATTTGGTAACTCCTAGTGATCTCAACCGATGATGGCTTCGCTTTCAACATGCTTCATACGAGGAGAGCGCTGATGAGAAGCAATTATAATTGGCGCTATATAAATACAATATTTGATTTGATTTGATATACATACACACACACATACATACAAACCCATAAACACGCATGCATACACATACATAAACACACACAATCACATTTCTAAAGAAAATACAGTCTCATCCATACGCGGTCCCACGGACACACAACAAGGTATCTAATGGACGCACGCACCTACGCTCCACAAACACTCACAGACACACACGAACACTCACAGACACACATAAACACTCACAGACGCACACGAACCCAAACTCTCACAGACACACACGCACACACCAGCTTTATTAGACACTGAAATATATTCATAAGTTAATGTGTGCACTTGTAAAGTTGTGCATGACTGATGTGGACAGTGAATAAACAACATGCCACATGAAAGCAAGAGTTATTAATAAAATCTACTTGTCCTCCTGATGACGATGACGATGATTGTGATGATGATGATGATGATGATGATGATGATGATGGTGATGATGACGACGACGACGAAGATGCATGCACAATTTTGAAACTTGAATGAGCTTGGGACGTGTGTATTCAGTGTGCTATTTCACGCGATTGAAGCCTGGCTGCTCCACGAAGGCAGCAGGTGGAAGACGTCTGGTGGCACTCGGTTTGAAATGATGAAGTGCTTGAATCGCCGCACGCTGCGCATCAGATGGTCACAGAAAACCACAAATGATGAAGGAAAAAACAGGGTTCATCTCGAAATGCAATGCAATCGATGAGAGGGAAAAGAGTCTGTCCTGTTTGACCACGTCTGTGGAACGAGTGGTGGCAGACTCGTCAAAACAATTTAGCTGGCAGGGTTCATGGCACTAACAGAAAGACAGAACTAATTGTGAGTGTCTGGACGACCTAACATAATGATGCAGTGGAGACTTCAAACAGTGGCGAAAACGAAAGCGACAAGGAACATGACCGAACAAGTGACCAACGGCCATGATCTGGACGACGACGACGATGATGATGACAATGATGGTGATGATCGTAACTGTGTTCAATTTCATCAACCTCATCATCATTGTCATCAAATCTACCATCACTCCCATCAACCAACTCTACCCCATTCCATCATCACCCCATAAACCCCCTCACCCCCATCATCATCCTGTGTAAACCAGCCAACGAGCATTCGACTTGATCAGCAGTTAAATGTTGCGTGACTCAAGGGAGATTGTTTGCAGTGGAAATTAATCTTAAAGCGATGTACCGACGATGCTAATGTAATGAAGACGTCAGCTAAGTCGGCACGGTTTCAAAGTCGGTTCATTGGTTACTACAGAGTTTCATTGGTTCCTACAGAGTTTCATTGGTTTCTACATATTTTTTATTGGTTCCTTTCCTGCACTGTTTCGCTGGTTCTTACATGATTTTGTCGGATCTCTTCTTACGTTATTGTGTTGGTTGATAATTTATTTCATTGTTACCACACACCACTTGCAGAGCACTTACGTGTTCCATGAGTTGTGCTACAGTTGGAACTTTTGTTAGCAACCCTAACAGCTCGGCAGCCTGCTTGAAGACTTTTCCCAATCGGCACAAAGAACGACAGCCCTGCAGTGCTATAGCAAGAGTGAAAACAACGAAGATCCCCGTTATGAGAAAGCCCTCCCTCTATTTTTTATGACGCGGTTGAAATATTTTAACGAGAAATTCTTGAACGTGACTTTTGTTAAAAGAACTAAATTAGCGTTTGTGTTAGAATAAAATTAATGATAATAAATAATTCATTCTTTCCACTTCAAATTCTTTCTTTTCTCTCTTTTTTTCACTCACTTTCTCTCTCCCCCTTTCTAACTTTTCTCTTTCTTCATTGTTTTTTCTTTCATCACTTTTTCTTATTGTTTTTTTTCTCTATATTTCTTTTTTCTTCTGTATGTCTGTATATTTTTCTCTATTTCTTGCTGTCCGTCTCTCTTCCAGCCTTTCATTCCTAGTGCTTCATTTCCTTATTTTGGTCCCTCGTTTACCATCAATCGTCGTAATGATGCTCAATCTCCCCTCTCTTCAGCTCTCTTTCTTCTACGTCCTCTCTCTTCTTCATTTCTTCTCTAACACAATGAACAGATTTCTTCTTAACTCAAATGTTTGTAGTCAGTTAAGACAACCTGAGTTTATTCAAACACAACATCAGACAGACAGACAGGCAGGCGAAGAATTCGTTCTGTTGAATGCCGAGACTGTTTGCTCGCTGGTTGCTGTGATGGCGCGCCTTCGTCAAGTTATGCGTCCTCTCAAGCTGCACTGATCTAAATATGATAAAAATTACTCTACATGCTATTAATTTAAATTGCGTTGTTAGAACAATTTGGTTTTATTGTTATTTCTGTAATATTATTACTGTAATATTATTACTGTAATATTATTGTTATTGTTATTATAAAAACATTGTCCTTCGCTGTTTTATGCATAAATAATAAAATCAATACAAGTTACATCGTCTCGTCATTCAGCCCTTTCCTAAATGGCTTGTTACATCCTCGTACCAAATGATCACAAAAGATGAATGGCAGTGAGGTAAGCAGTATCGTACAACTCGACTGAACCAGTACTACAAATAACATCTACAATGCTCAAACAGTGTCATGTGACAGTATCTCTCCCATCAATTCATTTATTTTGTGCTTTTTACCATTGATGCGTTTTCAGTTTTCT